AATAAATGTGAATAGGTTTAATTATACTAATAAATAACAGAAACTCTTAGATCGAGTAAGAAAAAAAATCCAGTTATATGCTGCTTATAAGCTATGGTTATATATTTAAAAAACAAAGCTTCAGAAACACTAAAGGAAGGAAAATATATCCAAGACAAATGCTAATAAAAATTAGAGCAAGTGAAACATTCTCTGACAAAAGAGACTTTCAGAAAAGCATTAAAAGGGGCCAAGGTGGGTACACATATGGATAAAAGGTAAAATGCACCTAAAATGAGTCATGGATAATTGTGTGTTTAAAGGAGTGGATCTAACTTATACAGAACAAAAGTTTATGGAACTATACCGAGAAATTGACAAAGTCACAATTCGTTAAGAGGAACTCACCTCTTAATGGAAACAGAATGACATAAGCCCCATCTTTGAGAAAGGAGAATCTGAAACCAGAAATAGAGGTCTTCCTTTACGAAGAGAATCACTTGAATTAAAGGTGAACTAGAAAGCGAATCACTGGGACTTAAACCACCAATGCTATTCTCCAGGGGCTTTACTCCGAGAACCCGGATATTTACCACCTCGTGAGCTAAGCAAACAAACAGACAAACAAACAAACCAATCATTTGTGAAAATTCAGGTCAGGGCCAAAGTTGCCAAGTGCTATCAAATTCAACTCTACCTTGCATTCTACTGTAAGTGATAGATTTCTTTGCCATTTTTCAGCCATTTGATGTAAAGAGAGAAAGATTCTCTCGTCAAATCATCTCACTCGGGAGCCTGCCTTTTCCCGTATGAAATGTAAACCTTCCCGTTTGTATGAACATCAAGGTTTGCGAGTAATATTTAGATAATGATGGGAAGTGATAATGTTGCTAATGTGGGAAGCAGTAATTTTGTTAAAGCGTACTTATTGTTAATCCCTGTGCATATAACTGAATTTATAAATGAATTCACTTTGAAAAAACTTTCCTTTAAGCACTTGAAGTGCAATCCCTGGCTTCACACACTCTGAAAGCTCAGTTCAGTGGCTGAGGGATGTCTGCTGTTTTGAAATAGCTGGTATACATCTCTGTCTTCCAGCAGCGGTTGTTCATAATCAACTTTAATTAAGTAAAAGAGCTTCTGACAGTTTCTAGACCTAAAACATAATGCAAAACTTTTTTTTCCAATCCAGTAATCAGTTAAGTAGTGATTGAAATAATGAGATGGAAGATGTTTCTCGAACATCATATTGGCGAGCATTTACAGGTTTGTAGGTGACATTGTGGATCAATGAGTATCCTTATACATAATTGGAGGGAAGGTAAATTGCTAACGTCTTTTCAGAGCAATTTAGCAGTGTCTAAACAATTTGTTTCTACTGAGCAATTCTACTTCTAGATATCTAACCGAGCGAAATCCTTGCTTCTTAGCACAGACAGGCATATAGGAGCCTATTCACTTCAGCATTATTTATAAAAGCAAAAGAAGCAAGCATCTCAAAAATACATCATGAAGGAAGTCTGGCATTCTATGCTCTGAGACAGAATGCAGCCTTTCAAGAGGAGGTGGGCAGCGACATGGGAAAACCCTCAAGACTTGTTTTTAGGCAGAAGCACGTTACAGAGAAAAATTTGTGTAAAAACACACCCATTACATACGTGTGTATATGCTTACAGGTATATAACTATGCACAGAAATATATCTGAAAAGATACACATCAAATTGCTATATCTGGGCTTGGGGACTGGAGAGGGGGTAAATTTCTTATTTTACTCCCTTTCCCTCACTTCTCATGCCCAAGCTATCGGTGGGTATACATCCCAAATCACTGGCCAATATGGTGCCATCTCCCCCACAGCCACATGTGCAATCAAGGGACAGGGGAGGGTGGCATCTCCTCTCACAGGGAATTGTTGCTCTTCATCTGCACCATCTGGGATTGTTGGATTTTGGAAGTTCTAGTGCCTGGTGAAAGGACCCACCCACCAGGGAAGACAGCCTTGGTTCTGTTTAAATTTGAAGATGAGACTGAGTCCTGGCTGGTTTGGGCTCCTCATAATACCACTAGGTAGGGGATGGGAATAATTGTACTTTTGGGGGTGATTGATTCTGATTAAGAAAGGAAATGGGTCTGCTGCTTCACAATGAGGGAAAGGACTGAGCCTGCAATCCAGGAGACTCTCTGGCGTGCCACATAGCACTCCTATGTCCAAGCATACAGTGGTCAGTGGCGAATTGTGGTGACCCAGTAAAGACAGGACCACTAAGGACTTGGATGCTGTGGAAATAAAGTTTTGGGTCACCCCACCAGGTAGAAGAATCCTGACCAGCTGAGGTACTGGGAGAGGGTAAGGGATCATGGAAAAGACGGTGGAAGAAGGAAGCAATGATTGTCAACCGTTAAAGACGTCTCAGAGACAAAAGCATTTAGGAAAGGAAAGAATAAGTTTACTTGCAAAGAAGTTGCAAGGGAATCAGACTTTGGAGAACAAGCTCACTAAAGAAAACCACAACAGGTAGTCAACAGAAAATTTTGCAAGATTACCAGCGTCAACGAGTTGTTAATCAGTCTGCTCATGATGGCAAACAGCACTTCTCTCACATGGTTACTGTATTCACACAAGGTCATGATATATCTTTAGCTACCAGAGTTACAAAAGTCAGGGATATAGCTGTTTTTCCCCGGAAGTCAGCAATTTATGGGAAATGCTCAAAGTTCAATTATTTTGGGGACTAGAAGGAGAACTATTTTTTTGTGAAACCCACATGCAATTTATCAGCAAAATCCTGTTGACTCTACCTTCATAATAGATCCAGAATCGGAACGCTTCTCACCATCTCCGTGCGTATCCCAACATCACCTCTCACGTATTACAATGTCTCCTTACCTGGACCCTCAGTTTCCACCCTTGTCCCTTTTCTTGGAATTCACAACACAATAATCACATTGTTACAGTTCACATATAAGTTGGGTTAGTCACTCCTCTGCTCCAACCCCTCCAAAGTCTGCCTCTCAAATCCTTAACAATAGCCTACAAGGCCCTGACGAACTGGCACTTGATGTTTTCCCTCCGTGACTCATCTATTCCTCTTCTCTCTATCTCACTTCTTTATAAACTCTCTGGCATCTCTGGAAAATGACCCTTGTACACACTAGACATTCTCCCAACCCAGGGCCTTTGCACTTGCTGTATGCTGTCTGGAACACTCTTTCTCCCAGAGCTCCTTGTGACTTGCTCTCTCACCTCCTTCAGACTTCTGCTCAGATCTAACCCTCCCAGTTAGGCCTTTCTTGATGGCCTACTAAAAATTGACCCTATCTCAGTTCCCTGCTATATTTTTCTCCATAGAACTTGTCGCCGTGTGACGTTATATGTATTTTACTCATTTATTTTGTTTATCTGTATCCATTGGAATGTAAGCTCTATGAGGGCAGGGCCTTTTTTCTCTGTTGGTTCGCTTCTGAAGTGTGCCTCTGCTGAAGGAGAGGGCCTGGCATATTGTAGACATCCAATAAGTACTTGTTGTGTGGATGAATAAATGCATGTATGAAGGAATGGAGAAACATGCCATGTTCTTTGTGAAAAAGATTCAACAATGCAAAAATGTTGATCATCCCCAAATTGATGCATGAATCCAATGCAATACTGAGATAAACACAGAGATAAGCTACTCAGACCCGCCTTTCCGGGAAGAACTTGGTGCCCCGCTGTGGGGAGTGTGACCTGTGTGGACAGCCACCCCACCTGAGGTTCTGCCCCTGCTGGTGAGACCGGCATCTGGTGACTGAGCCATGGGGGCTTATAAAGGCCTGGTTCGGTCCCGTGCTGGACAGCTCCCGCAGGCTATGCTGTTTGAACTCCCAGAACCCCCTGGTGGACTGGCTGAAGCTCTGTGAGGTCTCCACCGCTGTTTAACTTCTCCCTCTGCCCTCTCCTCCTTCTTCCCCCTTCCTTAGCAGGGGCTGGTCCCTCATACATAGCTTGCCCCCAAAATACAGTCTAAGTGTTGGCTTCCAAAAACCCAGCCTGTGACAAATGCTAATCAACATAAATGACAGCAAGCAAAACAAAACTGGAAACAACCTAAATGTCTATCAATAGGGAAATACTTAGGTAAATTATGGCACGCATGGAATGAGATAAAGATAGGAAACGAATAAAGGACATTTTATGAACTGATGTGAAGAAATGTTCCTGATGCATTAACTGAATGAAAAAAGTAAGTAGCAGAAGACAATCCCATTTAATTAGAAAATGTAATCTAAAACGTGTTTGCTCTCCTTCTTCCCCCTTTAAGACACAAAGTTTCCTTCCTAGGAAAAGGACGTGTGTAGGAATTCAGGGCAGCCCCCTTAGGGGGATTTCCAGGGTTTACTGGATTGAATCGAATCCCTTTCGTGAAGACAGTGCACGGGGAGAGAGTCAGGCCAGGCTAGGGTGGTGGGCAGCACTGGGCTGGAATTCGGGCTCTTTCTCTTACCAGGTGTGTGATCTTGGGCAAGTCACACAATGGCCCTGAGCCTGAGTCCATCACCCAAAATGCCTCCTGAGTTTCTCATGGGAGTGAATGGTTAGAGTGTGGTCAGTATCTGTGCAGTCTCCGTCACAGATTCGATGCTCCACAAATTTTCCTCCTTTGCATGGCTCCTCCTCTTCCGTTCAGACCGGGAATCCTACTCTCCATCATCCTCTTCCCTCCTGGGTTGGGTGAGGGAGCTCGGCCAAGCTGGGAAGCTTAATGGCTGAGACCCAGAGGAAGCTCAGATGCCAGGAACTTGGGTCAAGATGGAGCAAGACCAGAGAAATGGGCTGCTCTGGATTTCAGTGTGCAATGATTTGACACCAAAAATTCTGGGAAATCCTGAGGCAGGAAGTGAAAGGGAGTGAGGGCCAAAGGAGAAACAACACATTGGGTTTCGTTCTGGTCCCTTCTGGTCTCACTCCCCTCTCCCAAATGGTAAAATTGAGGAAGTCAGGGGAACTTAAAAGAAGCAGAAAGGAGTAGACACAATCTGGAGGAGGAGAGCCAAGCTGGCCGCACGTCCAACTCCTCCACACACACAATCGCTGCCCGTGTTCCGATTTTAATTCCTTCTCCTTATTATTGACTTCCCCAAGTCGAGGAAACAGAAGATCCCAGCTCATAGACCCCTGGGCTTTCAGACACGAAGACCAGCAGGACTCTGCTCACATATGTGACTCATCCTTTGGCCACCTCTACCCCCAACTCTCCAGGATTTAGTTTTTTCCAGCTCTGGTCATCATTGAACCAAGAACCCAAGGATCCCAGCCTGCAGGCTTTCCACAGGTAACGGGGCTGGGGACACAGTTGAGACCAAGGGGACAGGGAGGATGTTAGAGAAAGCCAGGAGGGGGACTGTGGGTCCTAGGTGGGACTGAATGGGAAAAATAGAAAGGGGCAGCATGCGGATAATGACCAAGCGAGGATCTTATTCTCTTCCCTCCCCTGGATTCAGAATCAAGTATGGCAGCCAAACCTCAGTCACAAACTGAGACTCAAACTCAGCCCCATGTCTAGCCCAGTTCCAGCCCTGTCCTCAGCAATAGCCCCAGACGCAGCCCCACCCCCATGCAAATCCCAGCCCCTTCTTTAAACCCAACCACAGCTTCAACCCCAGAGTCAACTTGTATTTTAACATCAGCCCCAACACAAGATGGACCTTCAACCATATTGTATTCGCAGTTTCAGCACCAAGCTTAGGCCCAGCTCCATCCGTGGCTCCCACAGGAGTACTGACCCCAATCCTAGGAAGACACACAACCTGCCCTGCAGCCCCGCTGTTAGGCCCTGTCCTAGCGATATATTTAGCTCCAACCTTCCCTCCGCCTTAATCCCAAATTCAACCCAACCCCAGCCCAAGGCCTGCTCCTGACCCCACCTTCAACCTCAGCTGCAAGGCCAGGCCCCTTCCCATTGCAGGCCCTGACCCTGGACTCCTTCTCAAGCCCAAGCTCATCTCTTACCTCAGCTCTGGCCCTGACCTCAGCTCCAACGTAGTCCCAGCCTGCCCCTTTGCCCCAGCTCCTGCCCCAGCCTGGCCACTGGCCCTGCCTCCATTTCAGCTCTGACAGCCTCGGTGGTCGTGTTGGTGCCAGCATGCCAGTGAATTATGAAAACTTTCAGCACTCGGAGAGTGAGAACCAAAGCCCGGGGCTTAGAATTGGTAAGAGGAAAGGAGAAATGGTCTCTCCTAAAATACCTCCTTAATACGTTTAGAAGGATTTCTGCTGTGATGTGATGTCTGTGCCTCTACCATGTGCACTGTTGGGTCCCCAAATCTGAGGTGGTGGGGCCCCAGCCACCGGAAGCCACAGTATGAAGAGGATTCAGGGTCCTCAGCAAGACAAGCACAGGGAAGACCACAGCGGGCCTGGCTTCTGTGCTCTGGGTTGGCCCTGGTGTGGGAATGAGTGATTGGGTTTGGAAGGGAAGGCCATTTGCTACTTGGGTAGTAGAGATGAGCGTGAGGTGCTGTGGGCCTGGCAGCCCCAAACTCCCTGGGTCCTCCTGCCACCTCTGCCAGCTCTGATGCTAGGACTTTACACATCACCATCATCTTGAGACCCTGTGTCCTTGTGTACATTTGTCCCCAGTGGTATGAGGGGCCTGTGTGGCTGGGTACTTGTGCTGGTCCATGCTGGGTCAGATGCCTGGGCATACCCCATCCCACAATCCTCCTTGTGCAGCCCCCTTCCACGCTGAGCATTAAGGTGCCAGTCTTGATCCCTGACAGGCCCTGAGGCCCTCTCCTCCTCCCCTGTCTCTCTGGGTCTCTCTGGGACCCTCCTTGTCCTGACGCCCTCTCTCCTCTTGCAGGGCTGCCTCCCCTCCAGCCCTTCCTGCAGCCAGTCTGTTCCAGCTCCCGCCTCCTGCTGCTCTCCCTGGGCCTCAGCCTCATGCTGCTGGTCGGCGTCTGTGTGATCGGATTCCAAAGTGAGGGTCACAGGGTGGGCAGGGAAGAGAGAAATAAGGGCTGCATTGGTGGGGGCAGGGACGGAGTTAGAGATGGATAAGGCTGGCTGCTGGCTCTGTCACTTATTAGCTGGGTGATGTGGTCAGATTACGGAACCTCTCTAGTCCTTGGTTTGCCCATCGGCAATACTGGAGAACAACAGTGTCTGTCCCTTTGTGGGGCTTGTCGCGAGGAACCAAGGAGACAAAGTGTGTCAAGTGCCTGCTCAGTGTGGCACAGAGCAGGCCTGATAATCTTCGCCCTGATTGTCCCATCCACCTCGTCAGATTCCACGTTTCAGAGGGACCTGGTGACCCTGAACAACTCCACATCACAAACTGAGCTTCAGGTCAAGTCCCTGATATCCCAGGGTGAGGCTGGCGTGGAAGGGGCTCTGGACTGGGGTGGGGTGTGGTGGAGGAGGGGGTGCGAGCTGACTCTGCAGCACTGAGTCCCCATGTCCTCCAGGCGACAGTTTGCAAAAGACGATAACACCTCTGAAAGCAGGGGTGGGGAATCTCAGGCAGGAACTGCAAGCAGGTGAGACTCTGCAGGAGTGTGTGGGAGGGCAGGGCTGGCCCCAGGACAAGGTGGGGGAGCCCCTCGAGGTGCTGAGCGCCCTCCCGTCCAGCCCGTAGCATGAACGACAAGGTGTTTTCCCTGGAGAAGAAGCTGGAGGAGGAGCAGCAGACACTCAAAGCAGGTCAGGCCCCTGCTCCCATCACCTGGGCATGCCGCGTGGGGAGGGCAGGGAGGTTCCGAGGCGGGGCCCGTGCAGTGAAATCTGGCCTCCTGGACTCAGGGAGCAGAGTCCACACCCAGGGCACTGTCCCCACTGCCCCCCTGTGTGTGTCCCAGATTATGCTGAAATACGCCTCCTAGTCCAGCAGCTGGCCAAAGACCTGACAGCCCTGACTTGCCAGGCGGCTGCCCTCAAGAGCAATGGTGAGGGGTGTTGGGGGTGTGCCTGACTCCTTTGCTGCCAGAGTCCCACTGGGCAGCATCTCAGCCCCCCCCCCCCCACCTCTCCCGGCCCCCTAGGCTCTGCCAGGGCCTGCTGCCCCCTTAACTGGCTGGAGCATGAAGGCAGCTGCTACTGGTTCTCTCGCTCTAAGAAGCCCTGGCCCGAGGCTGAGAAGCAGTGCCAGCTGCAGAACGCCCACCTCGTGGTCATCAACTCCAGAGAGGAGCAGGTGAGGGCCCCTGGTGCTCAGCCCCCAGGACGTGTCCCCTGTAAGAAAATGGTTACCACACTTGGCTGCACATTGCAGTCACCTGGGGAGCTTTAAAACCACTGCCCTCTGAGCCCCACTCTCAGAGACCCAATGGGCCTGGGCACTGTCATAAACGTCCCAAATCTCAACTGCTTTAACGAACAGCTAAAGGTTAGAACTGCTAGTCCAAGGAGATGGGGAGAAGTCACCATTGCCCTTCATTGTCCCAGGATTTTGTCCAGGAACATATAGGCTCCTCAGACACCTGGATGGGGCTCAGTGATCCTACAGGAGTCTGGAAATGGGTGGATGGGACAGACTACAAGACCAACTTCCAGTGAGTACATCCTGGCTTTCTGTGTACTACCTCCTCCTTCAGCTCTGCTCCTCAGATCTGACCCACACCCCCTTCTCAGACTTAGATTCTGTGCCACCTGACCTTTCTAGTTGCTGTTGTCCTCTCCCCTCAGGAACTGGAGTCCAGGCCAGCCAGATGACTGGGATGGACATGGGCTGGGCCCAGGTGAGGACTGTGTCCACTTCAACCCGGATGGCACGTGGAATGACAATGCCTGCCAGAGGCCATTCCACTGGGTCTGTGAGACCAAGATGGACAAGGCCAGCTAGCAGAGTGTCAGAGGGGCTCCCTGTAGACCACCCAGCTGCAGAAATGGGATCAGGGGAGAGGGGCCCTTCTCCAGAGACGCCTAACGAGACCTCTGTGGGAGAGGAACAAGCCCTGTGAGATGGGAGCACTGCCCTCAGCCTGAATTGTGTTCCTCTCAACTGTCAAAAGACTATATAAAGGTCCTAAGGTTTTTTTTAAAAATTTCAGCTTCGTTGAGGCATTATTGACATAGAAAATCGTAAGATGTTTAAGGCTTACTTTCTGGTGATTTGACATATACGTTGATACACACATTGATAGATACATTGTGAAAAGACTCCCCCCATCTTGGTAGTTAACACAGCCATCACCTCACCTAGTTATCTTTGTTTTCATTTTGGTGAGGACATTTAAGTTCTACTCTCTTCGTAAATTTCAATTATTCAATACAGTGTTATCAACTGTAGTCACCATGTGATACGTTCGATCCTCAGACCTTGTTCATCTCATTGCTGAAAGTTTGTGCCCTTTGACCAACCTCTCCCCATTTCCCCTCCCCCCAGCCCCTGGCCACCACTTTTCTACTCTCTGTTTCACCCACTTTGCCTTATTTATTAATTTATTTTCGATTCCATGTATAAGGGATACCATGCACTATTGTTTTTGTCTCTCTGGCTCATCTCACTTACCATAATGCCCTCAAGCTCCATCGTGTTTTGCAACAGGCAAGATTTCCTTCTTTTTCACGGCTGAATAGCATTCCATTGTATGTATATGCCCCACATCTCCTTCACCCAGTCATCTGTTGATGGACACAGGTGGTCTCAATATCTTGGCTGTTCTGAACAAGGCTGCAGGGACTTTGGGGGTGCAGCTATATCTTGAATCTCCTGTTTCCATTTCCTATGAGCATAAACCCAGAATTGAGCTTGCTGGATCACATGGTAGTTCTATCTGTAATTTTTTGAGAAGCCTCCATACTGTTTTCCATAGTGGCCACAGCAATTACATTCCCACCAACAATGCAGACGGGTTCCCTTTTCTCCACATCCTGAGTTGTGTTAACCATAAAAAGCAACTTTATTTGGGTATAATTCCTACACAAGAAATTCAGCCATTTCGAGTAGAGATGACTTTTGTCAAACATGAATATCTGGTCCACTACCACTACAATCAAGAAATAGGACATTCCCATCACCCCAAAGCTTCGCTTATGCCCATTTGTGGTCCAGACCCCTTGCTTGGACCCTGGCAGCTAATGATCCACTTTCTTCCATGATTGATTAGTTCTGCCTTTCTAGAATTTCACGTAAATGAAATCACACAGTATATACTCTTGTGAAACCTTACGCATTTTGTGTTGCCTGATTTTTAGCAACCTTAAAATGGCAGAATGAAGCAGGTAGGCGAGGTCTTGGAAAATCCTATGTTACTAGGAAAAGAGCATTTTCTTTTCATAGAGATTTGAGTTCAAATCTTTTCTGTCTCTTAAAAGCTTTGTAAACTTAGGGTGACAGCCATCTTTCTGTTCTCCAAGGTTTTCTTATCAGCCCCACTTTGTGATGATAAAGAATTTACAACGATTGTTCTTCATCACCCAAACCAATAAAGGATGCAGGAATAAGAGTGCTAAATTAGAGGCAAAACTGGTCAATTCTTTAATTTCTTTGAAGATCCCAGGGTCGTTAGGAAAAGTAGATAAGATCTCAAGTGGACTGGTTAGCTATTGCTCTGTAAGAAACCACCTCAAGGATCAGGGGCTTGAAACAATAAGTATCGATTGTAGCTCATGAGTCTTTAAGTCAGCTGGGTGGTTTTTTGATCTGGCCAGCCTCGGTTCATCTTAGCTGGGCTCATTCATGCATTTGTGGTCAGCTGGGGGTGTTGAGTGGGAGCCACTGGGTCTAGGATCGTGTCCCTCCCATGGCTGACATTGGGCTGGCTATGAGCTGGGACAATGGGGATGACTGGGCCATACTAGGCTAGCCTGGGCTTGTTCCCGTAGTGTCAGGGCAGGGTTTCAAGACAGTAATTGGAAGTGAGCAAAGACTCTGGAGTCTTAGTTTTGGAACTGAAGCACCATTTCTGCTGCATCCTATTGGCCCAAGTAGGTCAGAAGGCATCCGAGATTCAAGGAGTGGGGAAATAGAATCCACCTTTGGATGGGAGGAACTAGAAAGTCCCTTTGTGTAGAGGATGGATATAGGGAGGGGTGGAGATTGCTATTTTTTCAATCAATCGAGCTTACTAGGGGAAGCATCTCAGTTTTAAGGAAACAGCCAATAGATCTGAGTGCTTATTAAGAGAGGGAAGGAACCATTCATTGCTGCATTACTTGCATCCAGACCACTGCCTGGCATATAGGAGGGAATCAATTAGTGCTAATTAAAAATAAAACATGTCAGAGGGAAGGTATGAGAAGGACAACATCTAGCCCCCAGGAGGAGGCACCCTTTTACTTCTCTTCCCCCACCAGCATCACATGAAAATCATCAGGCTGGAGCAGAGAAAGGTCTTGGGTGGAAGTGCTCAGAGCGGATCCGAGACTGATGGGATCAGGAGGGCACTGCCCCATGTGCAAGAGATCCCATAAGAGAGCAGTGGCATGTGGCTGGTTCTGTGGGCACCAAATATTGGAACCCAGTGCAGCCGAGTGCACACATCCACAAGTCCTCAGGTGGCCCAAGTTCTGTCACTGGCACCTCAACAGAATCCAGTCAGTTATCTGTGGTCTGAGTTTGGCCGAGGGTTTGTAAAGAGAAGGAAGAATGTTATGAAAAGTTCCCAGCCTGAAGACCTGAGGTCATCTGGTGACCATGGGGAGCCAATACTCCAGGAGCAGATGCTGCTGCTTAGGCTGTGCCCCTAAGGGTACAGGTGCTCTCGTTGGCTCTTTAAAGTGGGTAGTGGGCACTAGTGAGCATAGCATGGGGTCCGCCAACAGAGAGACCATCACTGCTGCCCATGAGGTGGGGAAGGGTAGTGGGTACCCAGAGATTTGATGATGGGAGAAGAGATACCTCAATTTAGTCCTCCACATATTATCTCCTGGGTATTATTATTTTGCATCTTTCTCCTTTAATTTTCTACCTTATGCCCTGTGCTTTTCAAAGTGAGGTTAAGATTTATGTAACTCATTAACTAGGGAACCAGTAGAACAGTAAAGCGTGTTCAGAGGAGTATAAGAGAGACACAAGGATTTTTAGTTATCGAAATAAAGGAGGCAGGGATCAGAGTGCTATCTTAGAAGCAAACCGGTCAATGTTGTACAGCCAATAAAATTGAACATTTGCGGTTCTTTTCTACTGCATAGAAATAACTTGATGTCTATTGGACAAAATCCATTTGCACTTGCTGTCAGACAAGAATCATTTGCTTGGCTAAATGTGTTCCTTTAGAATTAAAAAAATTATCTTATTTAGAATAAATAGTACATTAAATGAAGGTACGTGTGCCTACAGAATTAGATAATCCTTGGGTGGGCCTATGAGACAACGTCCAGCAGGACAACTGAAAAGGATATGCAGCCATCTTGATATCGAACCTGAAGTGAGTTTGCTGACCCGTTGCACAGCAAGCCAATCTCTGACATCAGGGGTAGTGGAAGAAAGTAGGAACTTTATTATTGCACAGCGCTGAGCAAGGAGAGGGCAGCTAGCGCTGAAATCCTAAACTCCCTGAAATGCTAAAAGGAAGGGTTTTTATTTGGGGTTTTAGGTAGGGGAGGGGGAGAATATGGCCTTGCTGGTCAGAGCTTTCCCACCAGCCTGTCTTTGGTTTTGAGACTACGTGCAGAGAGGAGGGAGCCTGTGACCTTGCTGGTCAGCAGCTCTCCCACCAGCCTGTATCTCTTTGCGGGGAGGAGATAATGAACCCAGGTGCTTGTCCTTGATGGTGTCTGTCTCCATGGGGGATAGTGGATTCTGGAGCCAGGAAGACAGAGATTAAGCAGGGAATGAGTGTTTTGGTTTTAAGCCCATATATGCTGGGTTTAATGTGGGGAAACTGATATCAGGGTCAGTATCAACTCCCCCCTTTCTTATGTTCATCCCTCAATCTTGAGGGACTTGGTGCGGCGACTGATCTAGCTACGTCCTGCTGAAATGAGGCGTAGATTGTTTCATCTCATTGAACCAATTTTTTAATAAGGTGGTGAGGCAGGTGGGCTCCTGAAGTTAGGCCTGTATCAGGTAAGTAAGTAACCAGGTATTTAATAAAAAGTTTTTCTAGAGAAACAAAAAGAGAAAAACAAGGTTAATGGTTGGAGCAAATTATAAACCAGTTTCTGAGCCCAGGGGGCAGCCAATCAAGATTCCTAGAAGTCAGGGTCAAAGCATCTTTTGCAGTTTGAAAGGTTTCTGATGGTGTCATTGGGCACTCAGGTAACTTCTTGAGTGGCTTACACAACAGTAGACACGAATCTCTCTTAATTTTATATTAGGTCTTCCAGCTTCAGTTTGCAAGGCTTCAAGAAAAAGGGCAGATTTAGTTTTCAGTGCCTCAAAATGAAAATGATGGGGAGAAAAACCATGAAAATGTTAATTTGGAGGTTTGTAGCCAGATATTTCAGGAGACTAAAAGAATTCAGGATCCAGTCTAGTTAACAGATGTAATAAAAATCTTAAAGACAATTGACAGAACCAAAATCTAGTATCCACAAATGTGTATTATAGTTTCTATTGAAACATAATCTTTTTCTCTAAAATCGCCCTCAATTTCACTAGGCCTCGTTAAATTAAGACTAACTGGTTTGCAAAATAAGTCTAGTTTTAATACATTTGGCATAATTATTTACAGAAGTACAGCAAGAATAGTAATTGATTATATAGGCTCTTTTAAATCTGCTTTGCTGGAACCTTATAAGAAATCTCAGGTTGAACTTTAAAGGCCTCTCAAGGAAAGCCAAGCAAAGGACCTGTCATCAGATTCTGCCTACAGTACCTACAGATTTGGATGAATCCCTCTCTTTGTGAGGTTCCCGAAAATATCCAGGTTTCTTGCGTCTGCCACAGGGAGCAACATTCTCTTCTCAACCTTACCAGGTCACTGAACCCATAAGTAAGGTACCAGGCCAATATTTCAAAGTGGCTTTATTCCAGAATGTCCACCTCCGTTCTTCAAAAGCCATCTTGTTATATCCAAGCCCGTATGCTTTTTCAAATATGATGTTCCAGTCAAAGCCTCGGTAATATAACCAGTGTTTCCAATTGTGTCCTGTTATA